ATTTAACATAGATAGAACACTTTTGATTAAAATGCATTCTTGAGAATTTGCCTTGACTGTCTGAATCAATGCACTCATTTATTAACAGAGTGGTGGCTGATTTGCCACATCTATTTTTTACCAGATTTTAAAGTAGCGAAGTCCTTTGTGCTTATTTTTCTCCTTTATTGCTTAACCCACCTGCATATTCGAGGTGGCGTTGGCCATTGACGCCTACAGCTAAAGTTTCTGTACCTAAGAGTAAGGAAAAGTGGAAGAAAACGACTGTTTGAATGGACGTTTAGAAAGGCTGAGTGGAAGCCGCAACATCAAACCGGCTCGTTGGGTGTCCGTCTCCTCTGTGTGGGGTTGTGGTTGTCTTCATCCCTTTAGACTAGTTCAGCGCAAAATGAACATTGAGACAACTGACAGAGCAATTGCGTCTCTGTCAAGTGCACGTGTACACACTGTAGTCTCCTCTTCATCATTTCTCCCTCCCCGTGAAGCACAAGTGTGCTTGTAGGCCACATGATGGGACAGAAGTGGAGAGGTACTAGAACCAAATAATCCTCTTTGACACCGCTAAACTCGATTAATCAAACTTCTTAACGTCGTCTCACCTTTCCTTACAATTTGCTTGATTTCTGTGCATCTTCCAGGCGATATTCTTGAAGCTTGTAGAGACGTTATGGAAGGAGGATGTGAAGCAGGCTACAAATAAAGGACAGTGAAGACGTTGAAGACTGATGAGGGGATGGTCAAGATTACAGCGCTAATGAAGCGGGTTGATTCGGAGTGCAAGTAGAATTAGCGAGGAGGGTTGAGTAGCCGCGACTGGTGAGGCTAAACTGGTGGATGGGAAGAAGGACGCCACACTGCCTATTTTCTGAGCAACTTGATCCCTTGCTCCCAGTCCAGAGGTTGCGTATTCAGACTGCCTACGGAGACTGGAAAGCTAGGTGATTTTGCCACTAATTACCTCACCAAAACAAACACCGAATGAATGTAGATGAAATTAAACGGTTTTCGTACCTCTTTAGTTGTTTGGCACCGAAAATAAACAAATGCTGTTTATGGGTTTAGAAAATATTAAGAATATCGTTTTGCTTTATTTGTAATCTGGTGGTTTACACGCCAAATTTAAATGGATGTTCCTAAATGAATTCTGTGGTGGTGAACGACTCAAATGAGGTGTGTCAACCACCACCGCTTCTTCTTTCACCTCCTGTATGTTGGCAAATTCTCATTAGACTGGCTACAACTGTTTTTACTTCGTAAGAGAGGTTATAGTAGAGGAGGCTCAAGAAGTAAACCATGCAGTAGACGAGGCAATACTGCCCATCGTTGAGGTGCTCACCTCGTTCTGGGAGATCGGCTAGACGCCAGGCAGGCTTCCTTTACCAAAGTGTCAGTGTCACACTCACCTTTGTTGGTCGAGGTTTGGGTCATTGTGTAGGAGATGCTAAAGCAGATGAAGAATTAAACTTTCGTGCATTAGGAACGTTTCGCAACTTCATGGTTAATGCCGAGTCAGACCACATCAAGCAGAGATAGTTGAAGAAAGGTTAGAGTCAATGAACTATTTTGGAGTAGTTTTGTGAGCAAGAGGCCCTAGACGAGTTGATTTGTAGTTGAAGTAAACGTGATAAGTAGTGCTGCTTCAAATCGCAAACATGCAAATGTGAATGCGATCCGCAATGGATGAAGTTAACTAGGCCTTAGTTGGCACAGTGGGTTTGGAGTTGAATGTTCACGACTGCAGGCGCGACTTTCGCGTACATGACCATGCGAAGCAAGATGTGACCCGCTACTCATTTCATTGTCACACCTCTTTAGTTGTCACGTATTGTCCTCAAGAATATGTGTGTGGTGTTGGGAGATGGGCGTGTGGTGTACGTGCACTCTAGGAGGCATTTAAGATCACGAATTGATGTGTGGGATCAAGTTAGTCAAGAGAATGCAAATGGGCTGCAATAATCTAGTGATTCGCAAGTGGCACTGATATTCGTGTGAATGAGGAATGGCAAGAAGATAGAAAGGTTGATACAGCTAGTGGAATTGGTTGCAAGATTAGCAGACCAACACGTAAGAGAAGGTTTCCATTAGAACCTGATTGTTATGCACATTTTGGCAATATTTTTGTGAACAAAGATTTTTTAAAGACTATGGCTGAGAAGGGCAATCTTGCCAGAAGAAATGATTTATTTCACACTGGATTAGGCCTTTTTTCCAATGTATAAGACCTCTTAAATCAACACAGTGTCGTGTTGTTCCTTGTAACACGCAGCACTTTTTCAACTCGACGGTGGAATTGCTTGACTTATGGTTCTGATCTGCTTAGGTTTCACAAAAAATATTTGCAATGCATCGAACCAATGAGACGAGCCAGCTGCAGGCCTTTGTAATGATGCCGTTGTTAAATGCGACGTAGAGGGAGCAGTCACTACAACTTAAGGACATTTGATTGTGCTCCTAAAGGCTAAGCTGTCATTAGTTTTTTATATGGCAAAATTGGAATTGCATGCTGTAGGTGCGCTTTTTGGATACATTTGAGACTTCACCTTTTGTAGTCTATACTCTTTGCTACTCTTAACAAGTGCCACAATC